TTAATAAACATATAATTGTCTTGATTTTTATTTTAAAAATATGTTAATTAGGCTTATTCAAATATATTTCTTAATTTATAAAAAAAATAACTTTGCAAAGAAGTTCAAAATTATTTAATTTTCTTTATTTAAAATAACAAATATAAATTAATTATTATAAAAGATCTAAACAGTGTTCCAAATCCAAGAATTAACAGATTGTCTTCAAAAAAATTATCAATTCCTGAAAATTAAATCATTCAATATCTAATCAGCTTTCAATTTAAAAATATCTTTGAGTTTTCTATTCAAATACTTATAATTTTATTTTCAGTCATAATAATATACAAAGCCAAATTGATTAAATTTGGACTAATTTATCTATTACTAACATTGATTATACAGAAATCATCACAACTAATATAATCAAATCAGATTATTATTTTATAACCCTAGAAATCTCCATTATAATTAATAGACCTAAATCTTATAAACAATACAAATACAAAGTCTTTCTTTGAAAAAATTGCATTAAAGAAAATCATGAAATCTATACTGATCAAACAACCAAAAATCTTTAATACTTAGCTTCTAAAATCTTATCAATTGCAAATCAAAATCAACATAATACTATGTAGAATAAAATTCACAAAGCACTAATTAAAGCTTTAACCAAATATTTTCTTTTTAAATAAATCAAAACAATTAAAGAAATTAAAGACTCATCTTTATCAAAACATTCTTTACTTTATTTTTATTATAAAGAAATATAATTTATCTAAAAATATAGTTTAAAAAATAAGTAGAATTTGAATACTAGATTTGTTATTTAAAAGTTAATAACTTGCCAACTTTACTAAGTTATTATATTTATTTTTAAAGTAATTTTTGCAAATAAGATCTATTATTTGTTATAATAAAATTATAAACTGTTATAATATTATATTTAAACTATCAAAAAAAATTAGTTTCTAATAAATAAAAAAAACTATATTTTTCTTTTAAACACTACTATGAATCTGTAAACCATTTTTGTAATCATATTATTATTATAATAAAAAGTTAAAAAAGCCTTCTTACTATAATAATATAATGTTTATATATTAAATATATATAATAAAGTAGAAAATTATTGTAATAAAATATTAAATACTAATAGTTAAATATAAAGAATAAAATAATAAAATTGTAAGTTTGTATAAATATAAAAGTTTTTTTTTATATTTTTTTGTATTTTTTTTTGTTATGTAAAATTGTTATATAAAAATTATTAAATAATTTTTTTAATTAGTTTACTTGCTGTAGTTTTTTACTTTAACTTAATTATTTTTATTCTTAAATTCTTTTTTTTAATTTGATACGCATATATTTTTTTAAAGTATTTACTTAATATAATTTACTTTTCTTTTTTAATGTTTATTAACATCTTGTAAGTAAGTATGTATTTTGTTTTAAATAATTTGGTTCTATTGCATGTTTTGTTTTTGAATAACTAGAAACTATTTTTCAATAAAATGATTTGTGATTATTTTTCTGTTTTATTCTTTTTTTTTTTTTTATCCTCTGTTTTTTTTTGTTTTTCTTTTTTATCTGATATTTTGATACCTTGTAATATTTTATCTAAAAGTAATTTATATAACTCGAAATCAATGCAAGTCCAGAGCATGAAGAAAGAAATTAATACGTAGTATGTTTTAGATACGGACAAAAAATTCAAAATTACGTTTTTGATGATTTAATATAGAGAACATCAGAAACGTAACTTTTGTATCACTGTGTATAGAATTTAAGAGTTCTTTGCTTCGCTTCAAACAATAACAAAAATTTTATATATAAGAACAAATATTTTGAAAAATTAAAATCTAGTTATTTTATAATTTAAAAATATTAATAGTTAAAATATAATATAAAAATTAAATTATATAAATATAAAAACAATGGTATTTGACTTTTTTTTCTTAAAATCTAATAAATTTTTCAAAAATCAAAAAATACTTTATTAAGAGTTGAAATTTTGAACTTTAAAAATAAATAACTTTTTACTTTATGATTTTGGATACTTTTAAATACTTATCCCCAACTTTCCTGTTCTTATGTGAAATTCTAATTAAATATATTAAAATAAAAATTTTTATACGTATTTATGCTTGAGAACTAACTAATATTATAATACATATAAACAAATTAAAAATATTAACTCCGGAACAACACACGAGTCTGAAGCTACGTAGAACATAATAAATCCCAAATATAATAATACGTAAGATATGTCCTAAATAAATCCCAAATATAATAAGAAAAAATATAATAAGATACATGTCCTAAATAAAACCCAAACCTTTGTTAACAGTATAGTAACACTACTTAGATTCAAGTATTTTTAATAACATTCTGTCATTGGTCGAAACGCGCCCCCTCCTTAAATACGATATTCAAAGCGCGTAATCAAACCTAAAATATATAGTATAAATAAGAAAGATAAATTATTTCGGTCTGCAAGATGTTAATTGATCCGAGTTTAGGACAACGCCCTAAAGCACACCCTCCTATGACCTAAGCCCACGAAAAACGCCGATCTATAAACAAGATACCTTGTGGAGGTACTTTGCGTAAGTTATTACGTACGTACGTACGTACGTATGTACGTATGTACGTACAGTACGTATGTATCAGGCATGAATGTATGTAGGTACCGTATATCGATATTGATAACTATATGCGTTACAAGGCTATGTAAAACAAAGAGCCATATAAAGTATGTATAACAATGTAGGTTCGACGATATACTAAAAAAAGAAATTAATACAAATGGAGAAATATAACCAAAAAAGAAAGAGTAACACAAACCAAACAAATCATACGATAACATAAAGTAAAAAGATTTACCAAGCCAATACTTAAAAAAGAAAATAATATAAGAACCAAACAATGATAAAAGAGATAATGAAAAGGTAACAGAAGATTCAGTTATCGGGAATTTTTAATTCTTATCAAATAAAGAATTGATCTGTGGCGTTACTTTTGAACTATTTAACAAATTTAATTCGGAACAATAGGATAAAACATATGGATTATCAATATGCATATATATTTTTGTACTTATTGCAATGCAATACAAATAAATAAAACCTGTAAAATTTCCCAAATAATACGTAGTAATAATTAACATTTCATCGGTGGCTAAACACTTTTTTTTTACAATTTCACAATTTCACAATTATTGCAAGCCACCCCACAGCAAATAACATTCGATCTTGTTAGACGGCGGGTATGATAATCGATTATTCCCGTAATTCTTGTCTCCGTAATTATGAATTAAGTAATCTAACCAAAATTAAAATCATATTTATGATTAATTTTCCTTGAATGTTAATTGGATTTAATTGGATTTAATTTAAATTTAATTTGATTTGATTTAATTTGATTTAATTTGATTTAATTTTATTTAATTCGATTTAATTCGATTTAATTCTTGTATATAAAGACAAGCTTTCCACTCAAACAAAAGACAGTATCTTTTTCGTTTTACGTGACATAAAAAATAAAATAATTATTTACTGTTATCATAAACTAAATGACAATTTTAGAAAACTTTAGTTAAAAATAAATTACCTTTTCTTGATGATAACAAGTGATCCTATAAGGTAGAATGGGTATTACAATATCAATACAATTAATATAATACTTTAAATACTTTTAAGATTGATATATACGCGACCTTTTACTGAAATAAATTAGGTGTAACAGTACAACACCATGATTTTAATCATTATAATCCGATATACATACCTTTTTTCTAAAAAATGAAATTTAGCTTTTCTTGTCTCGCTTAGTTTTTGAATATACTGTATGAGTCAACTTTATGTATGAATTAACTTTACGTCAATTTTACGTCAACTTTACTGATAGATGAGATTAATACGTTTTTGTATATTAATATTAAATTATATAATATACAAAGAAACGTATTATTAAACGTAACTGTAATAGAAGAACACAAGAGAACTCCGAGTGGAATGTTATGACAAAGTTAAAATTCATGTACAGTATCAAAATAAAAGATCTGTTGTTTGGATTAGTAGAATTAGTACATTCATACTAACAATAAAAAAAATTCCAAATTATAATAGTTATTGTGTGCCAAATTTATAATAGTTATAGTAAAAACGTGGCAATGATACCATAAGTAATAGATAATATAGATAATATAGATAATATAGATAATATAGATCATATAGATAATCGCGAGTTAAATAGAGTTAAATAAAGTCAATACGTAAAATTAATACATAGTAATACATGAGCAATACACGTGTCCTATCTTCGTACATAGAGATAATACTAATACATACGTCAACTCACTAAAAAATTTCGCGCTTTAATTTCATAATTTCATAATAACCGTCACGTGTAAAGCCACAGTTGGTTATTGTTCGTTATTTGTTCGTTATTGGTTTGTGGCGGGTTAAATTTTTGAATGAACCAATAATAAATTAAGCATTTGCTTAGTATTAAGTACAACCATGATCATGGATATGGATGACAAACAATTGTACAAATGACAAATAAAAGGTCACCTTTTTTTTTTTTTTTTCTTTTGGCGCTTGATTATACAGGTAACCATTGAAAAGATGTTATGTTGATAATCCAAACAGAGAAAAGCAATCTTGTGCATCATAAATTTTTGTAATTATTGCAATATTGTAATAATATATCGATATTTTAATTTATTTATACGTTAATTACAAATTTACAAAAATGAGTAGTGATTTATTAAAAACGTATATCTATATACAAGAAAAGTTTCCATATTAATTTCCTATTTATGTGCTTAGTTGAAATTTTAGAATAATCTAGAGAATACACTAATGTAATTTATATTTGGGTTCTTTCTTTTTTGTTATTGTGTTTAAGCTAAAACTAAAAATATTGTACGTATCCGAAAATAAAATAAAAAAAACTTAATTTTATTTGTGTTTTTATGATTTTGCCAAAAATAAATAATGATATAGATTTCCTTATTAGAAAGAGTTAATGTCATCAAGACCTTCGCCTTGTATCAAATTTTGCCCAACGTCGAGTTGTTCGTGAAGATATTGTGAATAATCAAAATCTATAAGCTCGTAAGACTCGTATGAGAATTCAGTATTTCCATTTTCGTATATGTCAGAAGATAATTCTTGAAAAATATTATCATCATGCCATAATGGAAATGTATCCGGTGTAGAGAAACCAAAAGAGTCAGGTAATGGAACCAAGTCTGAATAATCTGAATAATCTGAATAGTCTGAATCGGTAGGTAATATCCAAAATAATGAAGGGGATAAAAGTTGAGAATCCGAAGGTGGAGAAGGAGAATCCGATGAAGAGTTTGAATCATAACTGGTATCAGAATTAGTATTATTATCAACTTGAGTAGATTTCAACTTTAATTGTTTATAAAGTTGACGAACTTCTTTCGCTATTGCTTTATATTTATCTTTTACTTCAGGTGATTCACGCTTCCACGAGATCGAAACCCAAGGAGAAACATCAGTCATTTTAAATCGAAGGTTTTGAGCAACCAATTCTTTTGTATATACTTTACGATAAATAAAGAATGCATTTGGAGGTTTCGAAGGAAGTTTACGAGTTTTGCTGTTCATTAATTCTTCAGGATTTATTTGTGGTGGAAAAGGTAAAACTAAAGTTGGTGGAGGACTAGTAAGTTTTTGTTTTTGTGGTTCATTCTGAACAAAAGAACTATGTATTGCGATTGGTTGTAAATGAGTAGCATCTCCTTGTAAATGGAAATGTTTTCCTAAATTTTTTTGAGAAGAAATTGATTTCGGCATTATAATAAATGATAACAAAATTTTCGTCGGTTTTTTTTTTTTTTTTTTTAAACTTTTTATACGTAAGATTTTTTCGTAAATTTTTATTAGAAATGTTTTTTTTAATACTTTGAGAAAAAACCACTCCTGAGCAAATTGGGGGTATTTATTAATTCGGAAAAAGTAAGTATTTATTTATTTCAAAATCCTTTTCGGAATAATACTGTAATATACACAAAATTTTTATACGTACTGTAAGCTTGTATTCTATTTTTAGGAGCTACTTTATTAAATTTATAATATAAAAAAAAAAACTCAAAGTTTGTAATGTAACCATCACGCGTGACATGGTGGCTTGGAATCAAAGTGACAGAGATCTGAACTATCGGCCGAAACTAATCACTGCTGACCAAAATATTTTTTTTTTGATAACAGATTTATTCATGCTTTTTGATAACATTAATGTTAATGCTGTAATGGATTAATGTAAATATTCAATTAAAATTATATAATCATATAATTATATTAGCCACGTACTAGCCACGTTAAGAAAAAATTCGTCAAATTGCAAATTATGAGGGTTACCATTCATACGAAGAACATCAAACAATATTAAAATTAATATTGTAACATACAGTATATAATTTTATTATATATATATATATTTATGTCGTTGAAATGTTAAACATAGTGAAACTTTGATATTAAAAATTGACCAAATATTTTTAACAGAAGAATTATTGCTTGTCTCAAACAATTTTATTAATAGTATCGGGAACGCGTTAGATCGTTTAGATGCATATGAAGTGTTGTGTTCAATTACCATTCTCATACCGCTCATACCGTCTTATACCGATAAAATTACGAATCATCACTTTTATCGACCTATTTTGTGCAATGCATAATATAAGCGTAACTCAAAAACCCAATATGGAAAATGATTTCCTAGAACGAGTCGGAAGTTAACATCGATAACCAAAACAAATATTTCTTTGTTGTCCAAAAATTCTATAATTTCTATATTTATAACTAACATAGGTTTCTTTGTTAGTAATAAATATCGATGTTTACTATTAAATAAAGTCTTTTTATTAATAAATTTCGCATAAAACTGGTATAGAAATGAATTTTTATTCGATTAAAAGAATATTCATGAATTCTTTACTTCGGTCTTACCAGTTAGTCATTGTTTAATTCTCATGTGAAAACTTTTGATATGTATTAACATTACAGAATTAAGAAGTTAAAAATAAATTTTTGCTTAAAGTTAATCGTGTGGCTCTTCTTAATTTGGAACCTAGTTGAATTATATCTTGAATTATATCCTGAATTATATCTTGAATTTTACTTACTTATTTTATTTACGTTAATGTTAAAAAAAATATTGTACGTAAAATTTACAGTAATGAAACGTTACATAAATAAATTAATAAGGTATGCTTATATATGTATAATATGCATCCTTATCAAAGCTTTTCAAAAAAATTACATAAAAAAACGTGAGTAGTAATTGGTTGTAATTGGTGATAATTGATGATGAATATCTCTTTAAAAGAGTTTGTATTGAAAACCAAAACAATAAGCATAATAAGCAAAAGTATGCAATATTATGCAAAAATATGCAAAATGTGCAAAATATGTAAAATATGTAAAATATGCAAACTATGCAAGATATGGATATGTATGTTTATACAGTATTAAAAGTATTAAAAGTATTAAAAGTATTATAAGTATTAAAAGTATTAAAATTACTTACGCACTTTACGCACTTACGCACGTATATACGCGCTAGAACATAAAAAAGTTACAAGGATTTTAAAAAATTTATGCTTCAATCATATGATGTCTTTTTTTTATTCGGTTATAATTTTTACAGTAAAAAAAACAAGACAGAAATATAGAACAAGTTATTAGTTACCGCTATTCGGTGCATGATACCATACGAATAATCATACGAATAATCATACAAATAATCATACGAATAATATGATTACCATTAATTAACATCAATTAATATCATCAATTAACATCATCAATTAACATTAATTAATAAGGAACAAATTATCAGTTATCGCTATTCGGGGCAATATATGAATAATGGGATTACTATTAATAACAATTAATAACAGGAAAGCTTATCATTGAGAATATGGTCACAGAATACAAAGAATATTCGGTAATGTCCTTTTTCTTAAAAATTGCGGAGTATTAATTCCGTAATTGTGATTTTTGTGATTATTGTGTAAGATTCCCGAACGCTCTGTGATGTTTCCATATACTGTAACCTGTAAATCCTGGTTATTATTAGGTTTAATACATTCATTAACGTTAACGCTAATCCTTACATAATTTTTCCCGTATTAATGACTAGCTTTTTTTGTTTGGTTTGTATATTGTTGTTTGAGGATTAAATATGGTAATTACAGTAAGTTCCTCTTTAGTTTTAGTTTGTTACCTTAAAAAATCTTTAACCGATTCGTCGCAATAATTTTTCACGGTTAAAGACTTGTTGTCTATAACTTTAACTTATTTTTTTTTTTTTTTAATGCCCGTATGACCGTATTCTCATGGAATCATTTTTTATCAAAATTCCGAAAATCATATTATTCTCATTTTAGTCATGAAATGTATAAATTTATATAATAATAAAGTTGTATATACTGTATCTGATATATATGTACTCACATTAATTACTATATACTAACTATTGTATACAATGTTCAACATTTTAATAAAATTAATTATTTTATACTCTAATATAATTTATCGAATATATTGAAAGAATTATAGAAGAATTATATCAGTAAAAGAAAAATATAATTTTACGTATACGCGACACAATAAAGCGCAATGATTACCTAAACAAGTAATTAATATAAATAGGTCGTGTTCATTGAATCTTCTCTTTATTCCTTCTCTTTACTATTTTATAATTTAAAAATTATAAAGTAACTTGAAATTTGTTGAGTCATTGTTCTAATACGTAGTATATTTTTTGAAAACGGACGGATGATCTACTTATTATAATTTGCCGTGCCGATGTTATTTTACCGATAACATTTACCAATCATGTTTTAGGGTAATAAGAAAATTGTCGAATAAAGGAAATCGTACGTACATACGTACGTACCAGCACTTGATCTAACCTATTATAATTATTGTTTGTGTTCTTTGTAATTTCTATATTTCCGTTTAATTCAAACTTTCTATGTTTGCAATTACCCGCGTTAATAAATCGTCTTTAATAAACCTTGTATTTCTAAAGGAATTATTTTCAAGCATCATGGGTTGCACATTCTCGTCCGTTAATATGTTTTTGTTTCACTGGAAATATTTAAAAAAAAAAATGTTTGATTGTTAGATGTTATTTATAGATATGATTATCATAAATTTTTCGTACAGTAATATCGGCACGAAGAGAGTTTGTTCCGCAATCTAAATGTGTATTCCGCAATCTAAATTCATCCTTATAGTTTTTACATATCCTTATAGTTTCGCAATCCTTATATTTTTTTTTTGATTAAATCACATTCTCACCCCACAACTATTGTCACCATTGTCATCATTGTCATTATTGTCATCATTGTTGTTATTGGTATTATTGTTGTTACACGAGTAATATGTAAAAGACGTGGCGAAAGATTGAGCTTCGATAGATCAAAAGGTTTTTTTTTTCTTTTTAATCTTTCCATCTATGTATCACTGCTTCTTTTTTTTTCTTTCTTGGCGCTTCTTAATTAAGATGTAATATTTCCTGCTACAGTTATCCGACAGTTATCCGACAAAGTCAACTGATAAAGATAAACTGAAGTAAGAAAAGTAGTGAAACACAAACCGATAAGTAAAGCTTTTAAAAGTTTCAGTATTGAATTTAAGGTTGTACTTACACGTAAAAGGAAGTGAATTTTCGCGCATCAAATATAAATTTCATTCTTTGTCTTTTGAATAAGTTTTAATAAGGACTGGTCCGATTTCTCAAATTATACAAATTATTCTTTTTTTTTCAATTATGCAATACGTATTTATGAGTATTTTATGAAATTCTATTTTTAAAATCAATTTAGTTTGAAAGTAACGGAAATTCTTTTTTTTTAGATTCGTTTTATTATAGATTTATTGTGTACTATATCTCGAGAAATTATTAACGTTAATGTTAAATGATACTATCTTGGCACGTGTCACCCGTGCCTGAAGTTATCACCTGCTCGGAGTTGTAACTCCGGACGCCTAGGGCAGTACATACTGTTACCCCTGTAATTCGATATCATGTGCTATGTACAGTAATGTAACACTAACGCTAATGCCAAGAATTCTACTAATTCTACTAATATCTCTAATTAATTCTACGTAGCAGATAAATAATAAAATTGTTATACAACTACTTGTACGTATCTTCATATGATTGCCTCTTTCGTAACTGCAAATCACCATAATTCTCTTAAAGCGTAACCGCAATGAACATCACTCTTTTCTTAGCATAAATCGGTGATGGTTATCAATCAAATAGTACATCCGTCGCTAAAGTAAAACCGTTATACCTGACTTATAAAAGGTAGCTTCCGGGTGTAACAGTACGTACGTACTTGTCTAAATTACTTCTTAATGAATGCATGCAGGAAGATGTAATTTCAGCCGAGTCTAGACACTTTTTTAGTAACGTGATGTGGCGCACAAAATTAATGTTTTAAGTTTTCATTACATAATATCTAGTTGTGTCCACATCAGGAACAGTGAATTTTTTTTTATTTTTTTATATATATATCATAAATTAATATATATATAAATTAATATATCTAAATCAATATAGTTTTGGATCAAATTTATATGTACATTTTTAACGTTACATGAAATTATCTTTTATGAAACTGTAATGTAACTTTACATCAATTATGTATCAAAACTTTTTACCAGAAAATTATTTTGTACGTATTTATTTTATGCGTCAGTTCTACGTACGTATGAAATTTTTTTTACCATTATTCACATGACAATAATTACATGTAATTTTGATTTCAGAAACA